CTGAGGAGAAAGTTATTAATTCATTTCCTGCACTCAGAATCATGCTTCTGTGATTGAGCAAAACTCTGCTATATTAACCAATCCCAGTGGATTTGTCATAAGATGGAAGCGAAACAGGGTCGGAACTTGGATGAGGGACCACCAAGGAAGGCTCTGCAGAGGAAGGCAATGACAAACCACCTCTGCTTCTCCCTTGCCTTGAAAGCCCCTTGCTTTTGGTTGCAATTTTACCTTTCAAAGCTGTAGCATCGATGCCTTTCATCCTCTCAACGTGGAGATCCACTGCCTCTCCCTAACCCCCTACCCTGGTTGTTAGGACATAGAGATTTGATGAGGCTGTTAGTCTGTTATGCCATTCCAATTATCCGGCTTCGACCTCTGAGAACACGCTGGCATCTCCATGTCAGAGTGGAACCGCTGATGTTATTTAACCGAGCCTTTTGAAGAATGCGAAAGAAAGCAGGTTGCCAAGGAAGGCAGGAATCGGGAACTACAAAGGTAAGAAAGAAGTCAGATGAAGGGCCAATATTAAAAACCTGGTAGAGATAATATACAAAAATACATTTTTTATCAGAAGGGCAGTTAAAAACATACAAGGGGCCAATGAAAGCCTCGTTAAAAAATTCAAGTGGCCTAAACATGGGGGCATTTTGTAGAAAAAGAGGTGCAGGAGCTCATTAGCATACCTTATTTGCATACCTTATTTGCATATGCCACACCCCCTGACATCACCGGAAGTGTGTCAGAAGACAACACCCACCGCTCAGGCTCCACTGGACTGTTTTGGATTGCTAGCTATTGGGGGGGGGGAATGTGTAAATCTGCCCTCGCAGAGGAGGGAGAGCTTGTACCTGAATAAAACTTGGTCTTAAAGGTGCCACTGGACTGTTTTGGATTGCTAGCTATGGGGGGGGGAACGTGCAGATCTGTCCTCACAGAGGAGGGAGAGCTTGTACCTGAATAAAACTTGGTCTTAAAGGTGCCAGGTGCTTCTGCAACTTCCCTGGCTGCTTCTTGCTCCTTGTGGCCCAACTGAGGTCTGCTGGGAGCAGGGGGTGGGGCTTGTTGCATGTGCCCGCCCCCTGGGCTCCTTACTGCCAGAGCTCCGCTCCTGTGCACTCCCGCAGGAAATGACCCCTGCCTAAACACAAGGGCCAATACACATGACCTGATGCATTTCTGCCCTATTGGGGGCCTTCTTCAGAGGTCAAACAATATTGAGGCACACGTAACAATAGTTGTATTATTGTGCTATGACAATACTGGGAAGTGGATTTTTCTGTATGGAGGAGGAGGAGGAGGAGGAGGAGGAGGAGATTGGATTAATACCCTGCCCTTCACTACCAAAGGAATCTCAGAGTGGCTTACAAACTGCTTTCCCTTCCTCTCCCCACAACAGACAGGTGGGGCTGAGAGAGCAACTGTGCATTTGGCACCAGACACATGACTTCCATCTTTTGAGGCCTCATAAACATCTTTGTCTTGTGTCTATAGATCTGGCTGCTTAACCTTCCTTTTCTTGGTCCAGTGTTCACTTATTGCCAAGGAGGAGATCCAGAAGGTGTCAAAGGCTTCGGACACCTTGACATACGAGCAGCCTGGCAGGAGCTGGGTATATTTAGCCGAGGGGAAAGTCAGTCAGATCGGTGATCCCAGTCGTGGCCGTGAGCCAACAGGAGAAGGGCAAAGCACGGTCTCACTCACCCCCCCCCCCGGAAACTCTCCTCTGCAAATATTCCCAGGATAAATATTTAACAGATGGCTGACAATGGAAGAGTCTAGTCCCTCAGGTCATCCTGAAAGGGGCCTGCCAGAAAGGAGACAGCAGAAAACCCCCTGGGGAGCCGCATAAAACCTGGTTTTTATCAAGGTCAGTCTTGTGTGGTCTGACCGGCAACCAATGCTCCCTGTAAGCCGTGGAGTCTTGTGAGCAAAATTTCTACTTTGCAAGATACTAGCATTAAAGCTGTGAGCGAGCGATTTGGCTGCTGCATAAATTAGTTTGCCCTGGAGCCATCCTTCCTGAGCTAAGGCAGAAATGTGTGAGCCAGAGGCTAAAAAACAGTGAGCTAGCTCATACGGACTCAGCTTAGAGGGAACACTGCTTGCAAGCAATGCTCCCTCTAAGCTGTGGAGTCTTGTGAGCAAAAATTCTACTTTGTGAGCTGCTGGCATTAAGGTTGTGAGCCAGTGACTTGGCTACTGCATAAATTAGTTTACCCTGGAGCCATCCTTCCTGAGCTAAGGCAGAAATGTGTGAGCCAGGGGCTAAAGAACTGTGAACTAGCTCACAATGACTCAGCTTAGAGGGAACGCTGTTTGCAACAGCGATCCAGGTTCTCAGGCAGAGGTCTTTCCCATGGTGGAGAGCGAGTCAATTCGAGTGTCGGACGATGATCTGAGAGACTCGGGTTCGAATCCTCATTCTGCCATGGAAGCTCACTGGGTGACCTCAGGCCAATCGCACGCTCAGCAGCCTCGCCTACCTGTCAGGACCCTCAGCAACAATGGAAGCACACACTTGCAAGAAGGTTTTACTTTATTGAAGCTGGAAATGCATGGACAGGAACACTGTTAGGAATGAGGGGTGAACTATGCGCAAAACAGTTATAGTACATTCATATGAGCGTTACCCAATTACTATGGTTCCCACGCGTGCCCTTAGGCCTGGGAACTAACTGCTACCCAAAGCAAAACAGGTACGAGCTTCCCACGGCTCTGCCTGCCTAAAGCCAAAGCAATGATCTAAGCGACTCCTCCAGCGGCCTTGAGAGATACGCAGTGCAGTTTGCAGGAGAACGGCAATTAGCCATAGGGGAAGGTATGCGCATCTGTGCAAAGGAAGGTATGCGCATGTGCACAGGGAAAAGAACATTTTGGCAGCTTGCTGACACTACCTCACAGGGTGGCTGTCAGGATAAAATGGAGGAGAGGGGAATGATGAAAGGCAGGGTATAAATAAAGCAAATCAATAGTAGCCACTTCCTGCTCTTTTTTTGACTGGAGACACCAGGGACTTTCTGTGGATACCCATGGCCTTTCCCGTTGTCCTGCCAAATGGAGCTG